ATGTATATCAATTCTAAGTTATTATTCTACTCATAAGCTTTTGAAAGTGAACCATATTATGAAGTGAATCGTATCAGTGTAATCCTCATGAAATAGGTCCGTATAGTGATCGAGAGATTGTCGTCAGCCACTGATTGTATCCCATATATAATCTCAATCGTGCGTCCTATTCAAGGTAACAAATACACGTAAATCAAGATTATACATAAAAAAATCTTCGTATTGAAAAAGATTATCTTGTTATTTTTAATATATATATATAAAAGTATCGATCGTCACTTCTCATCAGTGTTTATTAATTCAATTAGAACTTCAATATTTATAGTTGTTACGGACATAAGTATATTTATTCATTAAAACTGTTCATTAAAAACAACTAACTAATATGTCAATCATTCTATTCGATTTCAACAGGAAAAAAATAGTAAATACCAATACCTGGTTATTTAAGACACAATAAAGTTCGCCCGGTCAGCTATACATATATTACTAATGAAGAAATTAACGCGGACGAAGTCGCGGGCAAAAACTAGTAATAAATAAAATTTCAACATTCAAACTAAATCAAAAAAAACCATACTCGCAATTTTCATCCACACTTCTGTTTTCACTAGCTAGAAATTAATCGTTATTTATCTATACGTCATATAATAAATACTTTAATAGAACCATCTTGCTTAAACAAATGTTTACTAACAATAGTAATATATTTTTTATTATTTACTAAAGTTGCTAAATTTTTCAACTCAAATCATATTTGCTTTACTCTTCCTTATAAAATATATAGGAGGAATATCTTTGACTTCAGCTTTTTAAAGTCATGACATTTCTAAAATAATTTATTTAAAACACGATTTTTACAATTTGTACTGTACGATGATATTTTACTTTTGATTTATTTAAATTTAAACTATTTTATAGAGAGGAGCTTGGACGATGAAGGTGTGTGTTAATCCAGTTGTAGGTTTAAGGGGCCCCCCCTTAACTAACGCGCGTTATACGCTCACCTCCACTGTCCAAGCTTCTCTCCCTACCTAACCAAATTTGAAAAGAACCTACTAGGACTGCCTTCGATGTACCTTCCAAGAATGCATTAATGTGAGTTCTGGACAAGCCCAAGTCTTTTAGTAGGTTGTAGAGAGATTTCGCTGTTATACCTCTCGCTCTACCGCGTACAAATCTACTACGAACCTATTTCGAGTGAGTTCGTTTGTGAGCTCGTAATATTTGTTGACCTTGATGTATGTATGTATGTATGGTCTTTGGGGATGCTGGTTTCCCAAGGAACCGTAAGCTCTATCATCACTACGCGCTTTAAAATACGCGAAAACAAAAATATATCCGGTCTGGAGTCCGACGCACAAATATCCTCGGGGATTTTATATTGTTTTTCATACGTGTCCATCATTATAGTCCAATAATATTGAATAGAATAACCCGGACATTTTATCTTTAACCAACTATTGAGTATTTAAGTATTTAAAACCAATGTGTCACTAGCAACGTGCTTTAAACCTTAATCTGAAGATGTTTATTTATATTATGTAATGACTTCACTCATAACCTTGATTGATCTAACAATATTTTGTTCAAAGCCTGTATATATTATGCTTATATACGTGTGTTCGTCACAAAGTTCGAATCAGTCCAATACAATAGACTTTTAGAGAACAAACGGAATCGAATTAAAATTTCTATCGCTAGTCTTTTTATATTTCGCTCAACAATTGTGATTTTTTTTTTGAATGAAAAGTAGAAAATAAATCCATTTTAGGGTAACTCTCACTTATTACTTGTGAAGTATTTTTTGTAGTAAATATGACGATTTAAATACTTCATAACTTATTCTTAAGTAATGAAATCACCTTGAATACTTCGAATTTTATTCCTACTTTATGTGTTTATTTCTCATAAATATGTTCATTGTAATTATTAGAATTTTTTTTACATAAATAAAATATTTTTTAAATAATATAATAGAATATTATTATATAACAAAAAGGTGTCTCGTTTCATTGATGTGTTCATAATCCATTTAGATAAGTGAACATAAAATCAATTTTCCGTGAATGGTTCGATTTGAAAGCGTTTTAGTGAATGGCGCTATACAATTTATGTGTAACGTAAGGCAGCGGTCAGCAACACGAGGCACGCGGACCACATACAATCCTAGATATAACTACTTGCAGCCCTCGACTGCTGTGTAAATAAAAGGCATTATAGGTAACTTTCAATAAAAAATATTCATTCAGGTACCAAAATTTATTGTATTTTTTTTCCACATACATAACGTATATACTCAAAAAATATGTCACGCTCGAAATCCTTAACTCTCGTTGAAAGATATGACGTGCTACAACTTTGCCCTGTTGTAAATATATTTATGTTCGTGAGAATAATAAGAACTTAAACGTCCGAGAGAATCCTTATAGTTATGTGGCCTAAAAGATATGACTAAAGGACAGAATTTAGTAAAAAGCCATGACATAAATGTAAATACCGCAAGACGAATATGTAAGTCTACCAACAGATGGAGGCAGAAGAGTGAATTGAAAAAAGAATAAATAAGACATGGATCAGTTAAAAGTGAACTTGAAGAAATTTAATACAACGATTTCAATTTCAATAAACAATTTCAATTTCTATGCCTGATTTTTTAATATTTATATATTAAGTCATATCAAATTTAAAACATACTATACCTACCTATTTGTTTTTATATTCTGATCAATGAAATCAAATATGTATTTATCAAAAACAGATTTAAAAGCGGTTTGGAATAGATCATAATTAATTCACTTTTAAAGTCTTTTCAAAGTATCTAACACTTATAATTAGTTTCATGAATTAAATAGTTGCAATTTGTTTACTATTGTTATACATATAGTATAATATAATTAGAAAATAAGCCCATTGTAAATTTGTTCTTGTTTTAGATTTATTTGTTACCTTATTCACGACGCACGTTTCAGATTATATATGGGATTCAATCAATGGTTGATCGAAATCTCTCGATCACTATAGAGATCTATTTCGTGAGGATTACCTATATATGAGTTGCCTTATTACATAATTCGTTTTAAGAAGATCAGTATAACTAAAATAGCAATTAGTTTATTATGGGAATAGGCACAATAAATTGTAATCTTATTTAACAGGCTTTGAACATAGAAGTTATCTAGAACTTTTAAAGTAATTGCTTACATATGATCCTAATTAATATTAGACCTTATTATTATTATTTATTATTCTTTATACAAAATATAAAATAGACAACCTCTTTTCATAGATAAATATAAATTGATTTATAATAAGAATCATGTACCTAACTATCGGTATCTATTTATTTTCAATGCAACATTTAAGTTAATAGAATAGACGACATCTTATTGGGTAATAAAAAGTTACCAGACAGAAAGACTTTATTCCTAGGAGACATTAAAAGCAACCGGTAATTTTAAGATAAGTTATTAAGTTTCTCGAGAAAACCGTTAGGGATATAAATTATTTTACTGAATATATATATGTATACATATGTATGTGTATGTGAGTGTAAGTATGTATATTAGAATAATATATTTTAATTACATTTTATTTGAAACATTATGAGATAAATTTTGTTAGATCGTATTTCTATTTGTTATCGTTGTATGGTGCATATTACAATTACTATTCATCCCAGCCCTACAATATTCATATTTATCTGTTTCCTTATTTTTACTTCGGAGCTGTCCACGATGCTGAAAAAAGTAATTTAAAGTTGAAAACCATTTTTTTTACATAAATTATGTTTATATGTTCTCCTTGTTAATACATGAGATTTAAGTTTGTTCTAATAGACCAAATTATTTTTCCATATGTGATTTCTCATATTTACCAAAATAATATTCTAATAAGGTGAATAATATTGTGTTCATATATTTTATGTGATATTATAATATTTGTACACTATGTTTACTACTTTTTTTATATCGGCAAGTTACTTTAATAATTAAATGTACATGAAGAGTGAGTCTTCTATATATTGTCAATATTCAATATTCAATATTAAATATTCAACTTACGCGGTATCATCTTCGTGCCATATAACATATCTCCTTACAATTTTAAAACCGAGTTGGCTAGCTTCTTGATTACAAATATCAATACTCCGTCTCTGACTGAAATGAAATTGAAATTTGTATGAATCAATTAATTAGTTATAAACATATAAAGACAATAAAATGTCATATCTTATTAGTCAATGCAAATCATATTACGTACATGTAATAGTTCTGCATTTGTATTTAAAATTAATTTATTCTATCCTTATATAAATATATATGAAGTATTACTAATGAACGAACTCACTAAGAATAGGTTCCACGTAATTCTGTACGCTGTAGAAGTAGGATTGAGAGATATAACACCCAAATTTCTGAACAACCTACTAAAAGACTTGAGCTTGTCCAGAACTAACATCGGTTTCGTTTTGAATGTGAGTCGAAGGGAATCCTAGTAAGTTCGTTTCAATTTGTTTAGGTAGAGAAAGGAGCTTGGACGGTGGAGGTGAGGGTTTAACGCGGGTTAGATAAGAGCCCCTTATAACTACACCTGGGTCGCAAGTCCCAGGCACTATTGAAGTTTCTTTCCCTGCAACGCAATGGACCTGGCGTCTGCACAGTTAATCCATAGAGTGATGAGAGGTTTCGTTTTTTATTTTCATTTTAAAGATAACGAGCAGACGGCCCACTTGGTGGGCAGAAGCTACCGTCACCCATGGATATGCGCAATAATATGTTGCGAATGCGTTGCCAACCTTGTTGTTTCAGAGATAGGTAAGAGTGGGAATAAGGAAATGTCAGGAAAATGTGGAAATAGGGAAAGTGCTACCGACTCTCTCACTCATCGAACGAAACGCAGCCATTAAAGTCTACTTCACGCCTATCTTCTGTGACGTCTAATTAATTTCACATATGGACAATTCCAATAATATTTGAATGTAATAAATCTGTAACAAATTACTTAGTTTCCTCTAGAAGACACTCTATAAACACTTTGTTTCGAGCTGTGCTCGTGTAAAGGAAAGGTCCTTCGCATTTGTTATCCTTATTAACTCTGAACACAGAGCCTACTCCCAGAACTGTCTCCTCTTCATTGATCCACGTCACAAGAGGTACTCCGTGGTCGTTCTAGATACAAAAATTTATCTTAATTTTTTATGGTCTCCTTTCATTACTTCGTAGAAGAAATAAGACACTAAATTTTATCTTCGAATTTTCGAATACACAAATCTTTTGGGGAAAATATGTCATAAATAATCATTTTTAGACATTACTTTTTCTTCCTCCTTAGAATAATCTCATTTTGGTGTAAGAAACTAAAGAATATTTATTTCTGTATCTTTATATTATTACCTGACAAATTCCTCCTTGTCTTCTAGTCAAAAAGTCGTCTTCGTTCACTAACTATAAAAAAAAAATTGTAATTAGGTATACAAATAACATATGTTCTTTAAGAAATTCATTGACGTTGTGATAATAATTATTGCATGATAGTTATCAAGAAGTAAATCTCTTAAATAAAATAATATATTTATAAGATATAAAAAATTGTTTTTTATTTTTTGTCATATAGATATAAAACTTATTTCGACAATAAATTAAATTTTGTATGATTTTAATTAAAAGTTTATATGAGATAAGTTAACTTTAAGTCTACATAAACATATCATAAAATCTAGCAGACCTAGTTTCTTTTAGAGCCCTCGATGTTGCTTAGTATAGAAATAAAAATCAGGAATACATATGTACGAATTTGATTTCAATATCTCGGCCATGAATACAGTACAAAAGTTCAATTCTTCAATCCTTTACAACGAACGTTTGAGTGAATTTCAAATGTTCTTAAATGGCTGCACGATATTCAAAGATAGGAATATAAGGTTCATTCTTATTGTATTCAACATAATGACCTACATCTATTTACAGATAGATCTATTACCTAGAAGTAGTTTTCTATTATAATAGTTAGCAAATAATTTTGTGAATGAAGATTTCGTTCGTACCCTTAAAATTTTGTTATATATGTACATATAACCAACACCGATCTTTTTTTCAAAAGTCACTGTTATAGTTTAAACAAAAGTTACGTCTCACAACATCCACTTATTCTGGAATACTTCTACTATTATATTATGAGTATTAATTTAAAAACAGCCAAAACCTATCTACGAGTAAATTATTTTCACTTTACACTCTCATCCAACTTAATATTATTTATATGGATTTCTGTTTAACATAGAAGTATATATTATGTATACTACTCTTCGTATGTAAGCATTCTTTGAAATAAATATAAAGATTATTCTGTTTTTATAAATATATTTAATATTATAAGTATGTACTTACATCTCTACGTCTCTGAACCAATTTTCCATTAATGTCAATGTTTCCAGAAGCATTCGTGCATATCATGTACTTCACAATGTTCTCAGTTAAATTAGGTTTTTGATATGCGGCCTTGCATTTGCCTTGATCAGAAATCTTTGCCCTCGTATACATTAGATGAGGGTAGTTAAAATCTTTTTTTGTATCTTTCTAAACGAATTTGTTAAAAATTAGAGATAATTTTTAAATGATTATTTAAATAAATAAATATCTAACCAATCTCCAAAGGCTCTGGTGTCCAAATCCGAAGGTAATGACATCCCTGTCTTTATTTTCGTTAGCTATATTAAAGTTTACTGGAATCGAGTTAGGTCTAAATTGACAATATTTGTCATATTGTGGATCGCTAAAATCGTATTGAATGTCCACTCTTACTACGGCTATGTCATTATAAGACCATGTCTCAACTTGCTTGTAATCCAAGTTATATTCTGGAAATATAAACAGTATAGTAATGTCACATTAGGAGGGGATTGTACATTTTTAAGCGAGCACTGGTTGATGTACCTTTGGGTATGCAAGTGTAGACAATTTTTCGTTTAGTATTCTTCGTGCAACCATTAGAATGGATATCCTGTGGTGGTACATAGGATATCGTTCCAGAGATAGCGTACAGTTCTGTAACGTCTTCAACGCAAGCTGCTGAAGTTAGTATATGAAATCGAGATATAATAGCTCCTCCACACATCCAATAGTCATAGTGACGCTTCGCTTGTGTAAGATATACCTATAAAATCATATTTTTAAATTAACTTTATTCTGTTCTTAAATGAATATTGGAAGAGATTAGTCAAGCATGTATTTTGTTTACAAGTGTAATTTAAATACGATGTAAACGTTTAAATTTGTCAGGTGGATTATTTGAAAAAATGTTGAATACAGTATCAGTTTGTATGCACTTATGTGTGTGTGTGTGAGGCCTCGGCCTCGAATTTTGCGGGCAGGAGAGAGAGGAAAGCTCCAAAATGGACGGTCGGGGTGATTTGATTTTAAGCGCAAAATTCGAGGCCGAGGCCTGAGAGAGAGACAGGAGCTTGGACGGTGGAGGTGAGCGTTTTAAGCGCATTAGATAGAGGGCCCCTTAAAACTACACCTGGGCCGCAAGTACCAGGCACTGTTGAAGCTCCTCTCCCTGCAACGAGATGGACCCGGCACCCATACGGTGAATTAACTGAATTATAAGAGGTTTCGTCTCATTTATTTGACTTGAAATGTGATCTCTACACGTAGGTTACTTTCTTTTCTTTCTGTCCTTAGTATTTAATGTTAAAATGGTCTTTGATTTTTTTTGTTACAATACTTATATTTTTTCAATCGAAAATTCATAATTTTTAAACTGGTACAGGTAATTCGTGCATTCACAAACTAACTATTCTTTTTTATTTATACGAGGTTTTATCAAACCAGATTCATATTAATCTTTAAATTATACTGCTGAGACAAATCAAAATTATTATTTTTAAGTGCTGCTTCTAACCAAACGTCATATATTTACGGCACCAATAAAAATAGAATCTAGTTACATCCGAATTGTGTGTCATCATATTCGTAGATCACTCAAATCACTAGTTTAAAAAGTAGGCATAGCCCCGAATAGCCACTTGTGTTAGCGACAAATATAGACTCTTTTGGTAGGAGAAGCATATTGAATTTTTAGTCATACTTCAAAGCGTTAATTGTTTATCCGTTTAAACATAATTTAATGTTTAGCACACAATAATATGAGATTTTATTATTGTTAAAATTATAAAGACGGAGACAAAAAATATGTTTTGTATTTATTCCTCTAGTTTTAAACACAAATATATGACATATATATGTACATACACACATATATGTCAAACTTGTAATGACCAAGAACGCTTTATAGATCATATTTTTATGGTTGCAATAAAATCAGGAATGTTATAAGTGTATGGATATGTGAATACTTACGAAGTACCTTTTCGGGGTCTCTACTTTTGTTCCGAATAAAATTCTTCGTTGGCCTTCAGTAACTATAAGCAAAGAAAATACAATAACATAATTATCACTTTATGTTGTATTACTTTTTGGAGGTACCTAATCAATAAACGATGTGATTTTTTTTGAAAAGAACTAAAAAAAAACTTAAAAAATTGCAAAACGTTTTGTATAATTTGCTCTTATATGTACATATTATGTGATTTTTAATCCATTCTTTTATTACGAAACGATTTATGTGAAATTTTAAACTAGTGTTTGTGTTTTAATATATATTTTTTTAATTTCGTCTCCTAATATATGTTTTTTTTATTATTTCAGTGAGATCTACGGAATTCCGATTTTTTTATAGAAAACTTCACGTTTATATTTAAATAATACGTCTTGTTCATGTAGATTATTTGTCAATAAATAATAAAAATGTAATGGTGAAATAAAATAACTTACAATATAAAAGAAATAAAACCAGAATATAACTCAACCTGACAATCATCATTGTAATGATTTCACTAAAAATTATCGTTTTTTTTATCAATTGCGTCTTATCTCACGGTTTCGCTAAATAAAGAATAAGGTTGTCTACAAGCAAATATTAACATGAGATTTGGTAGTAGGTTAACAGAAATTATTTAAGATTTTTAGCACCCATCAGAAAAAATAAGATTAGCATAAAACAATAACACTATTAATAAATAAATTAACAGAAATAACTAGTGTAAACTAAATAGTGTTACAGTAAAACTTTTTTTGTCAACTATTTAAATGTTTTGTATATAATATGTATAATGTGGATTATCAAACCGAATGTAGTGGCTCAGTTTGTCCACTGTGTGTTCACACACTGCTGACTTCAACGCACACCTATTTCTAACGTCTGAGAAATGTTCCTTGATCCTTGTACTGAGGCTTCTCTCTGTCAGTCCAATGTATACCAAGCCTCAGTCACAATCAAGTTTATATACACCCGATTGTTATAAAGAAATGGTACTCTTAATAGGTCTCAAGAATTGGCTCACTTTCCTGTATAGTTTATATGTCTCCTGAACTGATGAAAATTTTAAAAATTGAAACACGGTTCCATAGACCACATAATAAAATGAATGATGACAATTCTAAAGAAGTTGTTTAAGTGGTCGGAAAGGCACAACTTGGTCAACATCCTGCATCAGTAATAGATTGACGGATATCAAAGAGTCACAAAATTACATTTTGGTGAAAAATAGTGAAAACTTCAGCCAAAGAGTATCAAGTATGTAGTAGTAGTAGTAGTAATAGTATCTTATTGTGAAATGTCTCAGCAATGCATTTTTTTTAAATATAACGTGGACTTTCCAAGGGACCTTGTAGCTTGTCATTAGGCAAGAACTACCTAAAATTTACTTGAAATGAAGTTTCCAGACTTTAAAAGAACTGAAGACTTTCCCTTATTTAGCCCAAACTAATCATTTGGTTACTTTTTAAAGACAATTCCTTAACAACTGACTGAATTAAATAAAGCAAACAGTGGCGATATTTCCCTTCGAAGCAGTGCGTAAACCCAGAGATACGTGGCCAAACAGTTTTGGATTTTTTTTTAATGTCAAAGGTGACCGTTTTGAATAGAATATATGTATATGTACATATATACTATATACATAGTTTTGCTGACACTAATAAATATGTAGGTATAAAATTTTATAATTTAGATCAACAATATGCATTTTCATTTGTACCAAAACTTTATGGATTCCAAAGATACAACACAAATCATGTTACGTATCAAAACTATTCAAATCAAAATTTGAAGCAAAATATAAAAATGACAATGTGTATTTAACTATCTTTTTTGTATGAAGCGAAACGAATGCGTTGTTGATTAGCAATCTATGGAATGAAGTACTTCATTATTAAAGAATCGCCGATCTGTAAACATCATTACATAAGTACGGTTTATTCATCACATTGGAAATAAAACTAAATAAATATTTTATTATATTATCAAGCATTAGACTCTTCTATTTATAATGTTAATAAAATCATAATTGTGTGAAAATCAAGAATTATATGACAAAAATCTCCTGAATAAACTAAGATTTCTATTAATTTATTTGTTTTCTGTATTGGTAATAATAATAATAATAATTTTATTAATATTCCAAAGGCAAACGTTTGTGTATATGTATAGATGTATGTTTGTCACTTTTTAAATTAATAAATACTGAAGATATTTTGATGAAAGTATTCAATACAGAGCCTGAACATCAGAAGTAGTCAAAGACAATCAATTCTACATATCACAGTCCGTGCATTTTTCCTATGAATATTTCTTAACAGTTGCATGTAGTATTACATACTGACACGCGTGACTACAGTCACGCGACACACACGATAGATTATAGACGCTGACAATCCGTTTCTATGTAAGTAATAATAAGAACACACTATTCATTTATTTCTATTATAAAACAAAATTCGTAACATTGTCCGCTGTATTCCGCATAAACTCCGGTACACAATTTACAATACATTAGTAAAACCGCATCTCTCATACTTAATCGAAGTTTGGGGAAGTGCTGCAAAAACAAAACTTGCTAACTTACAAATTGCACAAAATAAACTTATCAAGCTACTTTTTAACTATCCATATCTAACGGCCACTAAAAATATTTACAAAGATACTAAAATAATGAACATCAATCAATTACATACTTATAACGTTTGTATCTTTATTCAAAAGTCACTTAGTAAAAACATTTACACTAATATAACATTTACCAAGCGCGATAGTAAACGTAGCAACCGACGAGTTAGCCTTTTAGTTCTGCCGAAAACCAGAACTAATTATGGAAAAAAAATGATCACATTTGAAGGAGCACAGCTTTATAACAAAATACCTTCTTGTATAAGGAAGACGCATTCACATAGCGCATTTAAAACACAATTCGCGCAATATCTTACCAACTAACGCATACAGTGGATGCGTTTTCCTTTTCTTTTATTCTCTTATTGACTTTGTACTAACCACTACCGATTAAATAAAACTTGGTGTGACGAATGTTAACAATGTTATATGTTTAAGTTAGTAATGTTCTCAAATAAGTGACTATGTATTGTTTTGTTGAGAATAAAGATCTTTAAACCTAAATCAAAATAAGGCGGACGAAATGGTAGACAAAAACTACCAGTACACAAATAGAAGTAAAGATCTTAAAATTGGTTTGAGTTTCTTTGCTGAGCAAAGTCTCTTCTCACATAGAGAAGATTTGAGCATTAATTACCACTCTTGCTCAAGACGGGTTGGCGTTTTCAAACTTATAATTGGAAATTATAAGTCTAGGTTCCTTAACTTTTTTCTTTTGAGTACAGTTCGTATAACTCTCAATTACAATTAACGTGATCTGTTGCCATAATGTATAATAACTCCGAATATATTTAACACATATTTTACATAAAGCTTCCAGCAAGTCCAAGGTTATGGGATTAATGTCGATAAGTACTCCATTATCATTTAAAAATTTGTGATGAATATACATATATAATGAATTAATAACAAATAAATTGAAATATTTTCAATGTCTGTTTATTTTAAATTAATATTACACATTTGTTAGAGAAGAAAGTCAGTGGTGGCCTAATGGTGAAAGGGTCCGCCTCTCGTTGCCGAGGGCGCGGGTTCAAACCTGGCAAGTACCAATGTGATTTTTCGGAGTCATATGTACTTTCTGAGAGTATTTAGACACCACTGAC